AGACATCTGTGTATATTATTTGCATGCTATTTATTGGCATGCATGTAAAATTGAAGAATCCTCCAGAAATAACCTGTTTGTGAAAAAAGACTATATCAGCACAAGAATTTCATTAATTTTCAGTGTATCTGTTAAAAAAATATATCCTTTTAAGAGGGGGAAAAAAAAACAGGAAGAATGCAAAACATTATAAACTCAAACGCATATATATGCACATGTGTTTGTCTGACCTGGAGCTGACTGTAACGCAGAGCATACTCCGAGAATTATCTGAACCCAGTTTACGTTGAAGTCATCTACAGTTACTCAACATTGACTAGTCAGTGTATTTCATTTCTTTTTACGACAGCCATACCCTGCCAATAAAAGATCAAATACTTTTGGTTGCTGGATTGAATTTTTAAAAAGTACTTGATGTTCTCCTGAATCTGCTCTCAGTTACAGCTCACTAAAGGGTCTGCTCCAGTGGTGATTCTATAAATACAAACATAAGCTGAAAAAGCTGCTCCCAAAGCAGAATGCACAAGCCTGATGTTAAGTGATTTCCACTCCACTCTATCTTGTTTACACAGTTTCCAGCCTTGAAAGTGGGTGGTTATAAAAAAAAAAAAAAAAAAAACTGTTTTGTGCAGTGTCCAATTTTCTGTTGGCCTTTTGCAGCACAGAAACGTACAATTACAGTGCACTTGAAAAGCACTCAAATGAACTCATCCCAGCTTCCCATATGTACAAAGTCATGCATTTTTAGATAAATTACGTTAGAATGAAGACAGACAAGCAGGAGATTGCACTGTGGTTTTATTTCCGATTACTGGCAGTTAACTTTGGGGTTTTTTTTTTATATCTGTTTAAAAAAAAATGCAGAGGATAAGAAGTCCTAAGGAAACCACACAGCTTATTTAAAAAAAAAAAAAACAGTAATGTTAAGCTTTTATCATCCTCTCATACTTGCGTTAGACAGAAACCTGATCTTTTAATCATTCGCAATCACTGAAGTCCCCTAGGTTACTTTCCAGAGTGGGGCTGCCTGGTCAGTGCCTGGCATCATTCCAAGTTAAGCACAGTGAAAACCCTTGTAGCAACCATGGGAGAGACTAGTCCTAGTTCAGCTGCTGTAGCAGGTGCCTGCTCAGTGAAAGTTGCACTGTTGTTCTTTCCTTTTTTTTTTTTTTTTTTAATTTTTAGTACTTTTAAAATTTAATTAACAGGCTGCATATGAAAGGCTTTTTATTACTTGTAAGTCGCACAGGAGCGTGGTCCCGTGAAATGGGTGTTGGGAGCTGTTCTCCTCGTACCCTACGTCCTGTAGGAAAATGCCCTCCTTCCCTGCCCTTTTCTTCTGTGACTCCTTGCCCTCCCCGAAGTATTTCCATGCTTCACTGCGTTAATCCCCCTTGCTGTTCCAAAGCCTCTTGTTCTGCAACGTGTTCGCTCTGCGTCGTATTTTTCTCACCCTGGTACCCTCGCTGCTCCTTGACGGTCTTCTCGGTGGCGCCTCTGCCCCTGCGTGCCCTTGCTTCCCCCCTGCCCTCGGCTCTCCTGCCCGTTCCCGAGGCCTCCCCAGCTCCTCCGGGGCACAGTCCCCATCACCGTTCGTCGCCAGCACCTCTTGGAGGGGCACCAGCCCCGGCTTCCCGGCTCTGTGGCACGCTCTCTGCTTTGCATCCCCCGTCCTCGGCACGCCTTTCTGGCCCTCGCCTTACAGCGTAGGGGGTGGCCATCTTTCCTAAAAGGAGCCCACGGTTTGCTCCCGTGGCAAAACACGGGGCAGCCTTTGCACGGAAACGGTTGTTGTCTCGATAGCAGTAACTTGGTGTCAGTCCCGCTGGCTGCAATAGGGAACGTTTCAACTAAGGGCAACCTTTGTGTGTTTGATAGCAGAAATTGGGAAATCACGGGAGATTTCAGTGTATGCACACACCCACCTGTCAAGACCTTTAAATCCTTCTTTGATCTTCATTTATTTTACAGTTAGAGCGTACTTTCCCTTTAGTCATTAGGGTAATGCGATTACAAATGCGACAGTATTTGTGGCAGCTAGTTGAGCAGGTGTCTGTGTTACGCAGATCATTTGAAATAAGAAAGATTTTTAAGGCCAGATAACATGTTGTTGACTCTGGTTACGGCTCATAGGTGGCCCTACGGACAGGTTTGAGGGCAATTATATTTGCTCTGACTACAGTTTCCTTAAATGCAATGTTCTTCATTTTGTGTGCTGGGGCTGCAGGTCCGATATTACGGAGAGAGAGTCACGTTCATAAAGGCTCCGGAGATTAGCCCCAAACTGTTAACGTACTGTTGGGCCACACAATTTCACTGTTGAGTTGACCAAAGGAGATGATGGAAGGAGCCGTTCTTACAGACAGCTCGTGGTCTCGGGAGTCAAAGATAGGAAGCCAAAGCCTGTACTCAAAAATGTGAGCGCTGTCGCGCAACTGCTTATTTCATTCGGATATGCAGCCACCCCAATCACACGCGCACAGGAGATCTTCTCATGGGCAGGATTAGAAAATAGGACTCTTAACAGCCAAAGCAAAAACTGGTTACCTGTGTCCTGCTCGTTACATGCCACATTAATGAAGAGAAGCTTGCCTCTAAACAAATTGCCTTTGGCTGAAGCAATTTTCTTCGTTCTATCTTCATTCTGTCTAATTCACTCTCTTCTTTTTTCCATCACTACATGAAAATCCTCATTATCAAATGGTGCCAGAAATCTCTGTTAATGAATTATGACCCAATTTGCAACCCACATTTACAGCCAATAATATACAGGTGATAGAAATACAGCTTGAGAAGACAGAGGGATTTCTTCCTGCTAGTTGTGGTGATTTTCAGTCTTAGAAATTATAAGAGAAAAGTCTTAAGCACATGGTAGCTGTAAGACTCTCCGGCTGTAGTGCCATTTAAATCAAAAAACATCCTCATTAGCATCCAGGAAATAGAGCTGTCCTTTAATGTACAACAAAGCACCACATACTGAATGGAAAGTTATTAAGTCCCAGATGAAAATGGTTTCTTTTACTTATTTATTTAGCTCAGTCTGCAGCTAAGGATACTAGGCTAAATAACAGAAAATTAAAAAATGCATATAATAACCATACATGTCAAATGGCACTAAGATCCTCAAGTTCTTTTATCCCATAATTCTCAATAGCATTAATCATTCTCTTATTCAGTCTTGCAGTTTATCTAAATCCCAGTTCTAATGTATTCAGCCTTATACTTCTATCATTGCAGCATGCACTGCAGAGTCTTTACCAACCCAATATAAATACAGAAAATCTGGGCATAGAAGTGGTCATGCTGGACACATAAATTAGATGGATTAGTTCATTGTTTTCTTTGCCTTTTTTTTCTTCCTATTTAAATCAATATTGCTTCTAGGTGGCACAAAAAAATTGCACAGTATTTGAGTCAACACAATACATTTAACTTACAGGAATCTGACTGCATTTCTTAAGCCTTTAGAGATATCTGCTTGCAACTTCAGTGGCCACAGAGTAAAAATTGGAACAAAACATGAAAACACTGCTTAGCCCATAATTCAAATTCCTGTAAGTGGAGGACTTTCCAATAAAATCCAGACACTTGAGAGGTATGGAAACGGCTGTGGCTCAATAAAGTTGATTGAGTGCCCTTACCCCTTCATATAGTACCGGTCAGGGGGAGGGAAAAAAAAAAAAAAAGATAATAAAGACTTAACTGTTAACTGTTAGGTCTCCAGATTTAATCTTGTGGAAATTCTCAAGAAGTCTGCAAAGCTCATCATACTGCAAACAATTAAAGGCATTACTAAATGTAGCAAATGAATAACATACTAGAGCAAAATAGAGTGGTTGATTGATTTGATATGTGACTGAAGGCTGCTCTTTGTCTTTTTCCCCTTTCTGCAATCAATAACATAAACCTTTTCACTTTCTTGCCTCTCCTGCAGCTCCCTAATATTGCCTCTCCGCTGGATACTACACTTTTCTGGGAAAAGTTGCCCGCTATATTGTTCTGAGATGACTGCTCTCTGTGACCTCGATCCTGCAAATAATTGCTATCAACTTTAATACTAGATTGAATGAAATTACTCTTCACGGAATTTACCAAACTCATTTTGTTGAAATTGTTATCATGATCTGACTCTTAATTTTCCTTTGCATAACAACATGAATCCTATGACAAACTTGCATAATGGGTCTTTGTGCTTTTATGCTGATGCAAATGAGAATTATAAGGCAAAGGTGATTGAACACAGAATTATACAATAATCTTCAGCTGTATTGAAATATTCCTAAACTTTCTCAGTGGTCTGAGAAATGTCCTGCCAGTACACTTATTTATTTGTGTGATAGCAGTGCAATGCAGTTGCTGTGGATTGACAGGAAAGGGGCCCACCTGGACACTGTGGCCTGCCAAAAGCCAGAGTGAAAGGCAGCCTGCGAACTAAAACACGGACTTGTGTGGGCCAAGGGAAGATTTATGGGAGGAGGTAACAGACCCCTTTCCTATGATGTGTGAGCTCTGGCCAGAAACGCCTTTTCTCGGATAACCACAGAAGTGGAGAAAGAAGGTGAAACGAAACAAAGGATCTGAGAAGCTGCAAAGCGTTAGAAAAGGTGGATTCAGGACACGGTTTGCGTGGCTGCAAGATTGCTCTATCTGAGCGGAGGCTCCTCACATAGATCAAACTGCAGCTGAAGAACTTGCTGCGTTTTGTTGGGTTGATGTTGAAGAAGGAAAGCTGTTATCAATCGTGAACGCCTTCACGTCCATACTGGAGGGAAAATCAATTCTCTTGTTCTGCATAGTTTTTCAGCTACTTAGCAGTAGTGAAAGCAAACAGAACACAAACCTATTTTTGCTGTGTTGAAGTCCTCACTCCGAAGGTGAGTTAGCAGCAGCAATGCTGTGGCTTTGGTGAAACTGAAATTTTAAGCTACTTTTGGGTGGAGTTCAAAAATGGAGTGTTCCCTTCTACTACAGCTCACCTCTCAACTTCAGAGAAAGCAGCATGCTGTGACAGAGTGGACGTTTTGATCTCTGAGAACTTTCTTCACATTTCAGAAAATAACAGTGACCTCTTTGGATCTTTAAACTACAGTCTAGGTAAAAGGAAATGAGCACAGAGTCGAATTTAATTTCTGATCTTTGTCCAGCAAATCTCAATGTTTTAACCTTATCTCTGTAGTTGAGACATCTGAAGGAAAGCGTCTAGGGAGAGCTCCCACGTGGTGACTCGGCACTGGTGCTCTGCATGCCCTTTCAGTCATCAGGGTCTCACAGCTCAGCTCATAGCAGAATATTATTTAGAGTAGAGCTTCAATAGTTTTCCACATTTGCTCCCTCCTTTTCCCTCGTGACATGTACAAGCCTGACATGTTTTGCTGTATGAACTCTCCTCAACACTATCCACCTTGCTCTGCAAAGAAAAAGCGTCTTTAGGCAGAGCTGCTGTTGTCCCTATATCTTTTAGTATGTGCTTCCTCTGAGGTAGGTGGTTGCAGATATAATTTGTAGATTCTTCACCGTTTATTTCCTTAACCAATTGCTTTCCTGACTTTTCTGATTATTATTGATTAATAACGCTACTCCTTATGAGAGTCGGCAAAACTAGGTGAGATATTGGCTTCCGAGTCCAACACAGGAGCTTCTTCTGTTGGGGAGAGGAGTGTCCTTAGTGTGGATCCAGCAAAAAGTGGTTAATTCATCCTCTACATTGTAAGTTTACAGGATAGCCCTTTGTTTACTGCATAGCTGAGCTGAAATGATTCAAAACAGCCTTTGCATGCAGCCATCTTCAGCAAATGTTGCTTTTTCCTTCAACACTAAGTTGCTTTTCTTCTGTTATCACCCCTTTTCTTTGCCTGTCTTCCTGTTAGGGTCTGTTGGTAGGGTGTAAGGACCAACCCAGCAAATATATTTTCAGTTTTGCATTTCATTGAAAGCACAAGGAGCTTTGGAGGTTTGTAATGAGAACTTAAAAATCAAGCAGCTGTGGCTTGCCAGCCCTGGAAATGTTGCTCGCTTGAATTTTGAACTCACTGAGCAATTCACAAAACATCTCTGCTGAAAAACGTACCACAGTTTATGTAACTGCTACAGCAGTTGGAGGAAAGTACTAATACTCTGAATGGTTTATATTACTTTGCATAACTGGCATCACAACCTTTGTTTAACATTCAAGTAAGATTAGGCAGATAAGGAAAGAAGGCAAGAGAGAGGAAAACTTAAGCAAGCTATGGTTAAGGCAGTCTAAAGGTCAAAATTGTAATATTAAATAAATCTTACATGGTTTTATAAACCCTAATTTATTGTCTATGTGCAACTGACATTTTAGCTCTTGGTTTAATACCAAGCACTTCAAAGTATTCTTGTAGAAGAATAGTCGATAACCCTCTTACACAGTATAATTGGAATTCTGCGTGTTAGAACATTTGGTTTCTGAAAGATTTTTGTAAATGTTAATAGCTGTCTTTTAAAATGGTGTAAGTGTGAAATGCTATGAAAAGCAAAGGTTTAAATGTCACTGTGTCTATAATTTTCATATTGTAAAAACTAAATAAGTTTTTTGGACTGAAAAACCTAAAGGCCTGCTGCAAGTTTGAAGATATAAACTAGCTCATTATTATTTTTTTGAAACTGATATGACAGACACATTTTGTAAAACTGTGCGAGTTTTAGGCTAAAGTGTACTGGCTGGCAGTGTTTTTTCTGCAGCTTCTTCCTGTTTACTGGCACCCGTGATTTGAGTATGAATAAGTCATGGCGATAAAAGGATTTACCTGGAGAGCCTTCCTGAGTCTCATCAGAAGTATTCTCCTCTTATGGATCCACTGGCACTCAGGCTGAAAAGCTACTCGCATTTTGTCTTGGCTGAGCATTATCATTTTCATCTACTGACCGGGAGCTGTGGTACATGAGCAGGAATTTTTTTTCAGGAATGTTTGGGTTATTTTCGTGAGGGCGTTTTGTGCCTAACTGGAATGGAAAGCATAGGTGTTTTAAGCTATAGTGTGGAGAGCTTTTCCATTAGCTTAGGTGAAGAATGGAGTCATGAATTTTGGATTACTGAGATTTGAAAGAGCAAGTTTTCATAACCTAACGCTCTAAAACTCTCCTTTAAAAGAGTAAATAGCACAGTAATGACCATGCCACAAAAAAAAAAAAGCATCATTATTTGTCTTCTTTATTCCACCATTCTGAAATATAACTTAAGAATAAAAAGGTAGCTCATGACAACCACAGTCTCAGCACTTTTTTAGGAGTTACCAAGGGTATCAGTTTACCATCCAGCCTGTCTAAATCAAAGAGACGACAGCATTTATGCGAGCAAAAATACATTATAAAGAGCAGGTAACACAAACAAAAATCGTGCCAAGAACGCCTTGTCCTCGCATGTGGGTTTTAGGAAGCCAAAACAATCTTTCCCTCATGTACTGTAATAATAAAGATTTACTTCAAGCAAAACAAGATAAGATAACGTTTGTGTGCTAAAGGAAAGGACTCTTTAAAGTCTCGTTGCAAAGTCTGTGATCCCTCATTCCCTAAGCTGATTTCTTTAAGCAGTAAACTTATTTACAAGGCTGCTGTTAAAAGAGTGTGTCAAAAGTTTCCACAACTTTGGCACTCACATCTCCATCCAGAAAAAAATACCGGGGCCAGAGAGTGCATCCAACAGCAACCAGGCGGGGTGCAGAGGCCAGGGGCCTGCCTCGAGGGTGGGACTCCTGGAAACTGTAGCTCACCCCTTCAGTGCAGCAGAAAAACTCCTGTCGCTTGAATTGTTGGAGGTCACTAAGCGCTACCAGTCCAGGGAAGCGGGTGGGATCCCGTTGTAATGGTTTTGATCGTCCTGTGGGCTCCTCAGGTCTAAAAAGCCTGGGAGTAGCGAGGAGGTGGGGGCGGGGGGAGAGAGAAATAAAGGGTAACGCGCGTGGAGCGTATCAGCATGAAGCGGGGGACAAAAGGGGATGGTGCAAAAGACTGGAATTAGGGAGTTGTCAAAAAACGTACAGCTTGGATAGGAAGACTGGGTTTATTGATACTCTTGTTCATGGTTTCTGGTGGCTGACTGCTGTCGTGCTTCCAGGCAGTGCAGAGCCTGGATCTGTTCTCCTGTGCAGGAGATCCGTTGTCCTTCTGCTTGCTCTAGAAGTTGGCAGCAAGTAATAGAAGGAGCAAAGAGGTTATAAATAATTTTGTGAGGTAGTTTGTGCCCTGTGTCTGCTGGTCTAGAGAAGTGAAACACTGTCAAACAGAAACTGGAGCGTGGCTGTGTTAGTCTATATTTTATGAAAGCAATTGCCTAGTCAATAGGCAAAAACCTGAGTTTTGTTTTTCCATCAAAGCCTATCTAGGGCAGCAAGTCTCTGTTATTAGCTGTTTTTTTAATGTCTGTGTTTAAAAGGGCTTAAGGTATATTTATTTTCGATTTATGGAAAAAGTGTTTAATATTCCTATTCTGTACTCATATAATCATTCTAGGAATTTACAGCATTTGAAAATATTATATTACTCATCTTCAAATTCAAGCCACTTGTCTTGTATAACGGTCCATTTTCTCTGTTAAGAATAAAAAAAATATGATATCAGGAACATAAAAGACAGCAGCTGGCACCGACTGTCTTATTTACAATAACAATGGAAACCTTAATCACCTGTAGAGTCCAGCAGGCTAATGTGAACATACAGTAAATTTTCGCTGAAGTGCATTATGTTAGAAAAGGACATTTGTTCATTTTGCATCCTGAATGATGCATGGTTTTATGATGACATTTCTCAATCTTTGTGTTTTCTTCTTTTTCAATTTCCATCTTTTCAGTCAAAGGAAATCATCAAGTGACCTTGAAATCTGCACTGGCATTTTCCTGGCAGAGAAAGAAGCTCTCTTCTCATTTGCAAACATGAATAACAATTTGATCATTCTTAAAACTTCTAAAAGGTTAATTATGCTCTCTCCGTGAGTACTGAATAAAAACCTGCTTTATCTCTGCCCAAATGAAACCCACAGGGCTCCCATTCCCTCTAACTCTGCTTGGAGACCGAATCCTGCAAGCTGTCAATTAACTCCTATCAGCTCATAGATCTGTGTGAGCTGCAGTTGATTTTCTCATCCGAAAACTATGACAGTTCTCATTTGCCAGAGCTGTTGGGTGACTTTAAAAAAAAAAAAATCACAGCAGGAAAGTGTTATCTGGTTGTGGGCTTGGTGGATAGAAAGGGAAAGAATGAGAAAGAGAGAAGCAGAAAGGTCCCGGGTTAGAGAGAGTTCATTTCTAGCTCTGAGATTTCTGCCTGGTTGCAAAACCCCACTTGAACTCGAGTTGCGTGTTTCAAACAATAATAGAAACTGAACATGGTTATGCACTATGGGCATGATTCCTGGAGTGTATTTTTTTTTTTTTAATATTACTGTATTATAGCAACCAGCCACTAAGGAGATGATACCGGCAGACAATAGAATTGGTAGAACAGAAACCCCAACGTTAAACATTTACCCAGCTGGTATTATTTCCTGGTTGTGAAATGGCTTTTTAATTTGGAAGTCAGAATAGTAATCTACAAGGGAAAGACTGAGAGGCTCTGACAATATTATTTCGTTTAGCTTGAAATAAGAATAATGCTATTTTGAAATGAAACGAGAGAAAGCAAAAAAAGTAAAAAGAAAATGCACTGAGCATTTGGTGATCACTATATTTCTGCCTGCTTATTTTAGTTTTATAGTTTAGGGTCAGCTCTTGAGGAGTCAGCTACTATAACTTGCAATAAAGTCAAAGGAACTTGTACCGATGGCTCTGCATGTGTTAGAAGCCGGAGCTAGAGTAATTAATTTTAGAATATAAATCGATGGTGTTGCAGTTAGCACATGCCTGGGACTCAGGAAGCCAGGTTCAGTTCGTGCCTCTGCTTTGACCTTTGGGAAACTGTTCCTTCTCCCTGTGTGATATTAGTGAGTCAGCTGTACATATCAATGCCTACTCTTCAAGTCAAACAAAATAGCAGCTCATGTTCCTGACAGTATCCACTCCTAAAAAGATTCATCATTCAGTTTTCAATGGAAATGAACAATAAAAATTACAAACCTGTACTGAAAAAAAAAAAAAAAGATTGATCGGTCTATTTTATTCCTGTCTTCTGTAAATTTAAGATGCAAGCCTTTGGGACAGGTATGATGACACCTTATCTTGCTGGAAGTGCTTACATGTCACCCCCCCCTCCCCAAAATAAATTTAGTAGTCTTTATATGTGAAAAATGAATTGGAGAGCCAATGAAAAACTAATTAATCAGGATGTTGCTCCATATTTATAAATATTCCTATAATACCCTTTCACCTTGCTCTCTTTCTCAGCACTTGCTGAGTTGCCAAAGCCGTCGCCAGGTAAATCATTCTTGACGCTGCGCTCAACCGAGTGAGCTCAGCACTGTGCAGGATGGGTTTTCTGCGGTAAGCGTCTGTATTGCATCTCTGAGGGGAATGGGAAAAGCCTTAGTGTTGTTAAATGAGCCAGGCTTTCACCTCCAGAATTATTAACATCAGTAAATGACAGATTCCTGGACAATTTACAGCTTTGGCAAATCACATGCAACTAGTTAATAAAAAGGGGGAAATGCTCTTTAAATAAAGGTGAGCTAAAAGTTCACAATGTTTAGAATAACCTTTGCAAGCACACATGCACCCGCAGTGTAATCTGGTTATGTGCTACCTGATTTTGGGGAAGATACATAATTCCATTTTAGCTTTACAGTATATCTTAAAAAGAAAATCAGTGCAACTAGTCTGTTTTTTTCAGCCATAATATAATTGGCAAGGTGGTATACAATGTTTGTGGGGTTTTTTTTGGAGAAGCCTCTGAAATAGGCCGCCATACAGAACATTAAAATATCTTTGTGAGGCTTTATTTCCTTTTCATTAAGCAGTAGAACAGAACAGCTGTCAGCGTATCGTGGTATATATGTTTATACGGCAATATTCTGCCACTTCTTTCAAAAGATCTAATGAACGATGCAAATCCACAGTGATTTAATTCTATTTTAAGTATAAAGAAGCTTTAGTGAAAAGTTTTACACTATCTTAATTATGCTATCAAGATTACCTGGTACAGAGAGAAAAATGGAACACCTACAAGGCAGTCAGTAATTTAAAAAGCTGAAATATATGTGAAAATTTCAAGGATTATCTGAGTTAATTTCCAGGTTCTAACAAGAAACCTCAGAAATGATCATCTTACACTGTCCATAGAAACACCTATTGTAAAAATTTCCAAAAAAACTCCGAGAATAAAAGAACACAACTGAGGGCACAAAGTCACTGAAAGAGGTAGTGGTGTCAGAAAATCCACCCAGAAACGGGAGTCTATGAGGTAGAACCGTTGTGCGCTTAGTAAATACTATCAGGTTTTTGTTTGTCCAAGTGTTTGTTTATAAGGTTATATCTATTTTGTCTCTTTCTAAATGTATGTCGCTCCTTCCTTTTCCTCCAATACCTTCATGAAAGCCTTGTGTTTTCCTTCCTAGTCTCTGGTCATCCTTCTTTTCTGTTCCTTTCAGACACAGTTTCTTCAGCCGCAGTATATTTGGTCCTGGTTACTTTCTTTGGGGTAATAAATGTTTCTCTTTCATTCAGAGTGAGCAGACTTCAGAAGGCTCAGTCATGTAACGACTACGTTCGTCATTAATGCAAAGCAACGTGACAGGAAAATTGGAAGAATATGGGAAAACCTCAAATACTTCAATGAGGTAAGTGCTGCAAGGCCTCATTTGCCAGAAGCACCTGGGTCATTGGTGTTGTAGGGACAGCTCATTTGTCAGTGATGTGGTTTTTGGCCCTATCAGGAAAACAAAACCAAAGGCTGCACGGTCAAATCAGTACAGTCAACTGAGGAAGGTGGATTCCATCAACTTGGGAGCAAATGTGGGGACTGAATTGGCAGAAATGTCCAGATATTTCATGGGAGACTCAACTGGACAGCTCGTGCCGTAAGTGAAGCTGCACTTCTCAAGAGAAAGCTTGACCTCTACCAGGTATTTTAAACATCAAAGGGCAATGATGCATATGGGGGACATGAGAAGGCTATTTTTGCGAGGAGAATAATATTTTTTGATGACTGACGCATCTAATAATTCTTCCCATTACAGATGAACTGGTGTTGCACTGGAGTTTTCAATTGGCTGGATCTGGGCAGGAAGACCTCCACAGCGTACATCCAGAAGCAGCGGTCTAGTTCCTGCACTCTACTGCTGGCTGCAGTGCCCTTGTCACCAGTGTTCCTCAGGTCTTCCATTTAGCTGTTTGATTGGCAGGTAGGTTGAACTGTCCTATCTAGGCGCTCCTAGGACGCTCCTCCAGTATTAAATGTAGTTGAATGGTTTTTTTTTTTTTGCAAAGAAGTTTAGAAAAGCCCCCACCACCCTTGAAGTGATGTAACCATACATTCCTCGGCTTGTGAAATCAGCATTTAATCTGCTTTTCCCCAGAAGGTGGGGCAGAATTTGGAAATAAGAGCTTATATTCAAAGTTTGCTGTAACAGGAGACGCAGTGCATTCGCAAAGCCCTGTGCTTATACACACCCACCAGGTGCAAACACAGACTTGTATGAGCACGTTTCGACCGTTTACCAATATTTGCCAATTCAGTGTTCTTAACTATGTGCCAATGCAAAATCACCTTTTATGCTGAATTTTAAAATGCTGATGTACACATTACAAATGTTTTTAATTTGCATACCATGTTTTGAATGCAAAGTAGGAATGGATGAACCCCAAGAATATTTGTGTGTTCATATAGCAGAATGATCGTTCACTCAACTCTTCTGCCAGCGACCAACTATTTTTTCTGACGATGGTTTATGTACTACTCCATGTTTCTCATAAATAACTAGATATGTGGAATGTATTAAGGATGTAATCAGCTTGGTATTTGGATTACATTTCTCTTCAGCTCCCATTACAATCAGTGTAAAGGTTCCCTCTGATTTCAACGAGAGTTAGATCAGACCTGGGGCACTATTTTTTTAAGGCCACATTAAGTGCTGCTGTTCATTGACATTGTTTCCCAGACACCAGCAATTGTTCACTGACCCAGATGTGAACTTGTATTTTTTTCTATCTCTGTTTATAGAGACCCATTCTCAGTCACGCTTATCTAGCCCCGTCACAGAGACCTGTTTAACTTGCTGAGAAGTTGTGATGGAGCAAATTAGAAAGCCTGCAGCAAACTGTTTATAGCTGAGTCTGTCAGAACGAGTATTAAAAAAAAAGGCAGAGAAATAATATTTACATAGAGTAGGGACCTCTATTTTACTCTTCCTACTTCTGGGCCATTACTCAGCTATAGGAAAGGAGGTTAGTACTCAGAAGTTTTTAAAAAAAAAAAAAAGTCACTAGATGCTGAAATAGGTGGCCGTTCTCCTCAGCCTAGTACTTCCACCTGACAAGGCAAGATGATAAATTTTGCAGAGCTCCAGGTTCGTTTCCAAATTCCTGCCCACATTTTTGAGCAACGTTCACTCTTGCAGGACTCAGAACCCATTTCCCCTAGCAAAGGAATCTAAAGCGTTGTGTGAAGCTGATAAAAAAAGGCTGGTGAAAGGCAGAAAGGAAACAGAAACGATCAAAAGAGGGGTATTCCTATCTGCAGAACACAGCCTGCTTCTGATGTGATGGTGATGATGATAATTTGTGAATACGTTTTGCAGCACAGCATTTTTAGCCACATTTGGGTTCTATAAAAATTTTCTCTTATTCACATAAATATTGCTAATGCACCACAGGAAAACTGCGTGATGTTTCAGCCTTTCAGTGCTAGTTGTGTTTGCAACAAGGGTCGCAACCCTAAAAAAAAGTCATACGTACAATGACCTTAAAACTTGCTGACTTCAGTGGCGTTACTTTGCATGTGTAAATGAACGCGTTATTTTTCTTCTCCATTATTCACTGTATGCATGTTCAGAATAATTAGAGACAAATATCCTAAAGCTCTCAGGCAATGTTTGAGTTCAAACGCCAAAAAATCTTTCCCGTTCCTTTTGCTCTCGTTGCAACTATCTTTAGATGATCTATGAGTTTTTTTTAAATGAATGTAAAGCTACAGAAAAGAATGAGCTCGCTAGCAAATAGGTAGTTTTTCAGTCTAAAATCTGCACAAGATGTAAACTTTACCATGAATAAAAGAACAAGTCAAAAAGCAAGTATTTCTTCTCCACTGACAGAGGAAATGTCATCAACTGCAGGATAGGTTTTGTTTTCAAAAGAGTATAAAAAATGATTATCAGTGTGCTCAGGCTTGTCTGGAATTTTTGGAGGGTTTTCTTCAATTATTCTGTGATGCAATGGGACTCCAAAACAACCCCAGTGCGGGGGGATTTGCTCTCTCTTGAATACAGCCTACGAGATGGCAATGTAAATCAAATCAGCAAAGAGATTCATGATAAAAATGTGGATAAAGGATTGGCTTTTTTTTTTCTTTGGCAAGAAATGTAGTAAGAATATTTTTGTGTTTTGTGTTTTTGTGGCTGCGTTCTAAACTGGTTCCACGATATGTCCACACTTAAACAATCTACCAGACAGGTGTATTTTAAAATGTGGTTGAGAACCGGATCTGCCTTCACATTACTCCCTTTTTGCAAATATTGAATCGCACTTGGAATGGCAACTGATGCATGTGGCTGAGCTGCAATTATGAAAACTGCAAAATGTAAAAATAAGCCTGGTTATTGACCTAGGCTTTTCACTCAAGCAGAACAGGCGCGCGTTACAGACCGGCAAGCTTGGAGGTATATGACAGCCTGTGAATTTCACTGCTCTGTCCGACACACGTTACATTTGCTGCTTACTGCTATTTAAACATGTAAACACCAAGATAAAATACTTCAGGAAAACTTTTGAAAGGCAAATGCCCCAAAAATGGTAATAATTTTGGCCTCGAAGTACAGCAGAATGAACACTTTTTAACTGGAATGTCAGTGGGTTCTTTGCTGACGTACCCCATGGCAGCTCGGTTACCTCTGCAGTTGACTTACTGATAAAGTAGATTAATATCTGACTCATTTGGCCTTCTTTTGTGGTGAACTGATAATACTTATGGCCTACCTTTTCCACCTTTTTGGCACACCTAAATAGACCTACTGCCTGGCGAGTGCAGGAGTATCCAGTTCACGTTCCTGTCCAGACTGTGGGGAGAGGGGACAACTGAGAAAGCTGCAGCGCTCTGTTTTCATGCTCGGTATAGTCTACTGCAAAGTGAGCACCCCCAGTTTCACATCACAACCATTACAGCTGTAATGAGGGATCTCTCTCCTTTTATACAGCATAAAGCATTTGAATACCTTGGAGTTGTGTTTCCCTTGTCCGTCTTGCACATTGGTATAGGATTCTGCTTGTTGAAAGGCTGGTCCCAGACTGCACAAAGTGTGTTTCCCCTCTGCTGAAAAGTAGTTAGTTGATTTTACCGCAAAACATCCCTCTTGCCTATCAGATATGCAGTAACACGCTTGTAAGCGGTCGCTGCATGAAACGCGAAGTTTGAAATGACGCGGTTGTCTGGGAGGGTTTTTTAGCCATCAAAATGTAACCTTAGGTTACATTTTTTTGCACAAAAGCTATTCCATATATGACAGTATTCTGTCTTTAAAGAATAGGCAGGCATACATTATTTTTAGGCTAGGACAGTGATAAATGCACTAGAGATGCAACACGGCCTCTTGGAAATTGTTCCCATGTGGGCAAGAGGAAAGTGTCACATGGCGTTAGGCACCAGGACATAGACTGTGTTCTGGGCTGTGGAGAAAATTGATTGTAATCTTCTGTGAGTACATTTACAATAAAGTTTTTTGGCAAAACCATTAATTTGATTGGACATACAGACTGTTGTGCGAACAACCTCCGTTTGCAACTTCTGCAGGGAGCACCCATATCTTATTAAATTCCTGTGCTGTAAGAAATACCACTGAAAAACAAATTTTAATGGGTACGTCTTAACGGCTCTGACTGAGCGTCAGCAATCATATTGCTTCTTCAGAGGAGCTGGATAGCTTGAATGAAACACTCAGAGAGGCTGTGCAGCTGTGAAAGATAGGTTACTGAATTTAAATGATTCAGCACAATCGTTAAAATTCCTGAAAATGTCTGCAAGTCATTGCACACAGATATTTTCAGATTACCCCTTGAATACAGGAGGATTGGCAGTGAAGAAAAGAGATGGCTGTGAAAAGATTGTCAGAAAGCCTTTTTTCCATGAAAAAAACAGTGCCAATTGTGGAGTTGCAAACTACCTTTTAGTGCTAGTTAGCAGTTGTGGTTTCAAGAGAAATAAATGGCACATACTAAGGAAGGCAAACCAATGTTGCATTAATGACCCGACACCAAACATTCTTCATACTCAGGCTAGTCTGACTGGCATGCAGATTTGTTTCATAAACAAAAAGTAGTGTTTTCTCTCTAAACAATTCATTGTGAGCAATTTGTCATTGCAAACAGCTTCTGGCAGTTGACCAATTCCTTTCAGAGAATCTTTCTTTAAACCAACTGGCCATTAAAATCTTTCCCTCCAACAATGGCTCTGATTCATTCGCAATGAATAATTTGCTGGGATTACTGTATTTGCTGTATGAGATGGTATAAAATTTTTATGTCAGAAGCAAAATTGTTAACACTAAGTTATCATTTCGTTTTCTTTCTCACCTACCCCCTTCATAGTCAGGGTCTGAACCCATCACATTTCTCAAGGCCAAAAAGAATTTGTCTGACTAGAGCTATTGATTGGCCTTAAATACATGTACTTCAGATTTTAAGTCATTATTTTCTTTTCATCACGTGAAAAAAAAGGAACAGAGTCCACAGTAGAGGAGAATAATTAAAATTACTGCAAATACAGAGAAAGAAAATGTAAGCATTATGATAAATATAAAATCATGGATGATTGAAAACGTGAAAAAAGAGATTAACAGAGTCCACTCGATTCACATTTGGGCATTTACCAGCTTCTAGCCTGGAACATTAAACAGAAGAATATATCAGTATTTACACTACCTTCTGTTAACATTTTAATGTTAACATACACTTTATATTCCTTTCTCTTACTTATTTTCCTGCCTCTCAGTCAACAGATTATTATTTATTCCTCCACTGATTTCAAGTGTTAGTAATAGCTATTATGTATGTTGAGTGAGATAGAAGTATTTTGGTTATATGCGTCATCTACCTCTGTAGGAAAGAGAGCGTTAA